AAATATGACTTATATTAGTAAATGTCCCATGTACATTAGATTTTTTTCTTGTATTTTTAGTTCAACTGGTTGACAATATTAATTTGAAGCTACTGTGTCTCATATTAATATAACCATTCTAGCTTTCTTTTAATTATTATTTATATATCTTTACAATTTTTTTTGCTCCTAACCCAGTAAGCCTTTAATTTTAATGGTTTCTTTCATACAGCATGTAGTCAAATTATTTTTATTTTTTTTAAACATTTTATTTATCAGAGAGAGAGAGAGAGAGAAAGAGAGCTCACAGAAGGAAAGGAGCAGAGGGAGAGAAACAAGTAGACTCCATGCTGAGCAGGGAGCCCAAGGTAGGTCACAATGCTGAGATCATGACCAAAGCCAAAACCAAGAGTTGGATGCTTAACCAACTGAGCCACCCTGGTGCCCCAAACTGTTTTTATTCTTTATCAAACCAGATATCTCTCTTTAGACTGCTCTTTAGGTCATTTATATATCATGCAATTATTTATGTAATTGTAGTTAGGTCTATCATTTTATTATTCAATTTCTATTTGTGCTGTCTAGTTTTTATCCCCCTGTTCCCTCTTCTTTTGGATTATATGAATAAGCTTTAGAATTTCATTTCAATTTATATGTTGGCTTTTTGGCTATTTTCTTTGTGTTATCATTTTAGTGGTTGCTCCAGGAATTGCAATTGTATATGCCTTGTCTACAAGGCCTATTACAGCCTATTTGGTTTAATGTTTATGTACTTCACATTGAACCTAGCTGTCTTTAAAACACCTAAGACTTTACCATCCCCATGCTCCTTTATTTTGTAGTTGTCATATATTAAATTTATATACAACAAAACCCCTCTGACAATGTGGCGATTTTTGTTGTTAATATTCATGTACATGTTAAGGAACCTACAAAAACAATACTCAATTTATATTTATTATATTTATATTTATATAATTATTATATGTATATTTATTTATATATTCAATATTATGTAAATTTATATTTACTCAAACCTGAGCCACCCAAGTCATAGAGTTCTCTGTCTGAGTCTTACCCTTGGAAATGCCCTGGAGAAGACAGAGAAAACATACATGGATACTTCCTGCCCCTGGGAGTATGCAGCCTTCTTTTTCTGATTCCTATTGCTAGAAAGATGCGGTTTCAGTTGGAGATTAGCTGGGAGCACAACTACAGCTAACATAGGCTCATGACTTGAGGGTTTTTTTTCAAGATAAAGCTGCAAGAGAAACAAACAAATGAACAAAATATGAGAATTGTATCCACATCCAGGTTGACTCTCTGAGTTTTCACTCTTCCCTAGAACTTGCTTTGAGGCTCTCAGGTAGTTTATTTTTTGCATTTTGTCTATTTAGTTAATCTTGTCAATTTTGCAAGAGAAATGGCTGAAGAGGGCATACCTGGCTGAAAGGAACATAATTTTGTGACTTTTTCCTGTAGTGATAAGGAAACTCATGACAAAATGAAAAACTGTGAACTCATGTCCATGCCATGTTTGGTTCCATACAAGACTTTGTACTTATGCAGTAAACTAAATACATAAGCTTTCCATAAATTTAATGTAAAACATGAGATTTAAATTGAAATGCATTGTGCTGGAGAAAATGGAAATCTTTTGAGAAATGATATTATTAGGACACAGATAAACTAGATATTATAAGAATCTATGGAAAAACTTTCTATTTGAACTTTCAGAGTAAATTTTACTATCATAATATTTAACACATATAACCTTTTTAAATTATCTTTACTAAAAAATACATATGATAAATGAAGGCCATGTTTTTTTTTTGAAGGCCATGTTTAAAATAGTATGTTTATTATTTGATGACAACTGATTCTAGACCTTCCACATTTTATCCATTCCACAAATCTATTTTATTATTCATTTGTTTTTTAAATGATGCAGGAAGCATATGTAGTGTAATTCCAGATAAATCAGGGTTTAGGATTAAACTTTCACAGAAAAAAAGCTACATCATACAAATACTCATCATTTATACAAAAAATGATTTGACCCATGTAAACCCTTATTTTAATCAGCTCTAAAAACAATAGCTTTGCCTTTCTGTGAGATGTATTCAGCAAGTTACATACAATAACATTTCCAAAACACATAACCATGTTTCTAGTGCATGATCTCAATAAATGGAAATTGATGTCATTATTATATTCTAGGTATTATGTCAGATGCTAGGGAAATAAACCACAATAAAAGCACTCTACTGACACTCAAGGAACTGAGTGGAAAGACAGTTTAGTGGAAAAATGATATGTAATTACATGATAACCAGGTTATGAAATTATGACAGAATAATTGTTAAAACATTAGTATGATAACAGAAACAACTAGTTGTAAAGGTAGAAAGTAAAAGCAATTTCCCTGTGTGTATTATCTTACCCTACCTACGTAAATAAAGTTTATCTTAGATATGCACTAAAAAAATAAGACTTTACCATTGTCGTGGTAAGAAAAAACCTTCAAGATACATTGTTTATGAAGTTATAAGAGACACAAATGATCATACTGATTATACTGCTATTTGGGTAAAATGAAATACACACTCATAACACACACACATGATTTTTCTGGAAAGTTAGTGAAAAAAGTAAACATTGTTTACCCTTGAGGAAGGATACTGAATTGCCAAGGTATATAAATAAAAGGGAGATTTGTAAATTTTAAAAAATATCTTCCACCCCTTATAGACATTGTCTATTTAGAATTTTAATAACATATTTAGAGATTGAAAGCATAATGTGGCAAAATGTTACTGACAGACTATTTTGGTGTAAAATGTAATATAATAGTAGTAATCCAATCTTTTTTTTTTTTTTTTGAGCAACATAGTTGATCGTTAATACCATTTAGTTAAGGAGGTCTTTCCAAAGATTAGTCAATTAATCTTGTCATCAGCCTTCCAAAATCCTTGGTGAATTTTCAGAACTTTGTTAGGGTTTCAGAAAAATTTATTGACCTAAATCAAGCCAATATATTTATCAAGCTCTCCAAGTTTCTGACATCCCCAACATTCTTTAATTTTCCCCCATAGTTTGCTAAGCCCATAGAATGATATCCTCTGCTTCCTTTGTGACTTTTTGCACCTGAACGAAGTGGGGATTTCTGGGGCTTATCAGGCCAACTGACCTTGCACAGAGCATGTGTATCTCTCCATCTAACTCATCTGGACTCTGGGATTGAGATCATCTGTGGCATTCCTGCTGCTTCGATCTTTCTTAGAAGCAACAGGCCTGTTGAACTTTCCCAACATTTTTGGTTTGGCTTCTTCCACATGACAGCATATCATTAACCTGTTTTATATAAGCATATTTAGTCACAAATATATATTTATTTTTTTAATTTCAACTGAAAACTCATTGGGGTCTCCCACAGCACTGATTATCTTAAAATAAGTTGTTAAACAATAGAAATGTATAGCAAACACAGCAGGTTGCCTATTAAAATCTCGTTTTCTCTTTGTACTAAGAGAGCCCTAGTTCTAATTGGGGCGGCATTATGCTCTGCTAAAAATACATTTTCTTCTAGCCTATCTGGCTGCTAGGTATGGCAGTATTGCACAGTTCTGGACAAGGCCATCTCTCATTTTGTTCAGGGCTCCAGGCAAATTTTTTTTTTTCTGGGATCTCTGTCTATATAAATAGTTTGATTAAAAATATATTAGAGACTTCTACTTCTGGTGAGATACATAGGACATGTTTTTCCCTCTTTCTCCCGGCAAATGTAGCACAAGTCTTGAAAAGTATATACACAACAAACTAATAGACTCTAAATGGTGAGAAAAGTAGACAGATAGCCTGGCTAGTAACATTGGTAACTGAAGGATGGCATGGTAGTAAGTATCCTGGGTTTCCCTTTTTGTCTCATAAGTCTCAGACTAAATACTGGAGAAGCCAGCAATCCAGATACATCACTGGGCAGAGATACAAGCAAAAATATAAATAAATAAATAAATAAATAAATAAATAAATAAATAAATAAATAAATAAATAACAGACAACCAAACAGAAAAGACTGCTTTCTTATCCAAAGGACCAGAAAAGAGGCAGACTAGCAGGACAGAAATTTCTGGGAATAACCACCCTATTTCAAATACCACAGGAAAAAATTGAGGCCCCACTCTCAATTCCACCAACAAAAACTAAGTAGAAACCTGAAATTACACCTTTACCAAGGTGCAACGAGGCCCCCCAAATTCACAATCAGGGTCATGTCAGAGAAGGCGTAGGAGGGAGCCAGCACTTTCATCACTGGTGAGTAGTTAGGTGCCTGCCCCTCTGTCCAGAGAAGTGGATTCCACAAAAGGTCCTTGATGGTGAACAAGAAGATTGTGTGCTCAGAGAGATGCTTAGGGTGGTATCAGAGGAGAACTAGTGGAGAGTCCAAATTTTCGCTAACGCTTTATGGGGAAAATGCTACTTTCCCCATGGTATCAATGGAGGCTATACAGGTAGCAATAATGAGGTGTTTCTGCCCTTCCTGGTCAGGATGGTATCAGTGGTGACCTAAAATTGGAAAGTGGTCTATACAAGAATCCTAAAGAATCTATATTTTTAGAAAAAGACCTCAAGGAATATTAACTGAGTCTGGCAAAAGCCCCAAGTTATAAAATAAATATAGAAATATTAATTATATTGCTATATGCTAGCAATGAACATATAGAATCTAGAAAAAAGATACAATACCAGGGGGATGCCTGGGTGGCTTAGCGGTTTAGCACCTGCCTTCGGCCCAGGTTATGATCCTGGAGTCCCCGGGTCAAGTCCCACATCGGGCTCCCTGCATGGAGCCTGCTTCTCCCTCTGCCTGTGTCTCTGGCTCTGTCTCTCTCTCTGCCTCTCTCATGAATGAATGAATAAAATCTTAAAAAAAAAAAAGAAAGAAAAGATGCAATACCAGGGCTCATACAGGAGTTAGGAGGACCCAGTTAGCTCTGGGTCGGGTCTGGGGATATCTGAAGTGCTGGGGACAAGAGGAGTACCTGGAACTGCTTGAACAAAGAACTGAGTCCAGTAACGTCTACAAGGCAACATGGGGAGAAGGCAAAGACAACACTCTTAGTAATGTGGTATGTAGCCAGCCAGGTCGAGTGACAAATGGTCAGCTTCAACAAGCAACTACTGGAACAGCCAACAGCAGATCCATTCAACTTAGAAGTAATGATGCCAGAGATGATGAAATAGAAGAGAACCTGACTCAAGTGGGCAGTGTCCTAGGACATTGGAAAAATAAGGCTCTGGACATGGGCAATGGGGTTGAGGCTACAGATCCACAAATAGACTGGATCACAGAAAAGGCTGGTATCAACAAAGATCATATTGACTTTGCCAGTGCCAGAGCAATGAAATTCATTGATAGCTAAAGCTGCAGCTGTGCTTATCATGTATTCATTTCTCCAGTTGCCCCATCAAAGTCATTATTCTTTCAGAGTTTGATGTTTTGATCCCATGCTCTTTGAACCAGGAGATAATGTGCAAGATGGGCTTGTAGTACACACACCTTATTTTTGTATGTTCTCTTTTCCCTTGAGGGTATACTACTGCTCTGCTTTCCTTCTAGTGTTTGTTTTTCTCAGTTTGGACTTTTAGATTGGTTTTTGTACATTGTATATAGTGAAATTTTTCATCCTCTTCATCTTCTTCAGCATGTTCTTTTGCTCTTTAGAAGTATTGCCAAAGACAGCCATGCAAAAGGGAGCTGGAGGCAGGGGGAGCACAAGGACGAGAGGCAAGAGATAAGAGGTTGTTCCTTCAAGAAAGCCTATAGGCCACAAAGTAAAACGGGTATTACCACAATAAGGAGCTAGTTGGGTTTAGTTTTTAAGTTGCTGTTATTGTCAATTTAGGCTAATACTTGGTCTCAGAGCTGTTATATACAATATTTTTGTTATGCATAACAACTTGGCAAACTCCGCTCCAAATAATAGAATGAATTTTCTTAAAGTGAGCTTAATTGCTGAACTTCTGGTGATTCATGTATGTACATAGATTCTGTGATCCCATTTCATATTGCTCTGACCAGGAACTCTTTGTATAAATGCATGGCTTTTTCCCCCACAGTATTAGTGGTATCCTGGTCCTGTTACAAGCCTATTGACCTCATAAATTTGTCATTAATCTTTGAAGAATAATGTGTAAATATGTAAGAGTAACATGAGAATTTCAGATTTACCTCAATGCCAAGAATTATGTTTAGATAGGAAAAAAAGAAATTTGTTTTGATCTCAGGTAGAAAAATAGTTAGATTGCTTTGAGTTTTACATAGTGGGGTGGAGGAGGAGTAAAGTGAAAGGGAGAACCAGGCTTCCTGCCTAGCAGGGACTCCAACCCACAGTTCAATCTCAGGACGCTGGGATCATGACCTGAGCAATAGTTAACCAACTGAGCTACCCAGGCTCCCCAAAATAGACTGAACTTTTTTTTTTTTTAGACTGAACTTTTGACGCACCTACCTACTTAGCATCTAAAAGACATTGTGATGAGTGAAAACAATTCAGTCTCAAAGTGGTCATATACTGCATAATTCAATTTATTTAATAGTCTCAAAACAACAAAATTATAAGATGGAAAACAGATTAGTTGTTGCCAGAGTTGTGGGATGATTTGGGAAGAGATGTGCATATGGCAATAGATAGTTAGAGAAACATTTCTGATGATAAAATAACTCTGCATATTTGCTTAGTGTGGTGGGCGTCATGTAACTCTACATCAAATGTAATAAAAAATAGAATTAAGTATATACAATACATAAAAGTCAAATTCCTGGACTTAAAATTGTATTGTAATTATGCAAGATGTAACCCTTGGGAGAGATTGGGTCAAGAGTACATGAGAATTCTCTATACTGTATTTGTAACTTTCTATGAATTTGTGATAATTCGTATAATTTTATGAATATATGTGTGTATACACAAAAACAGTGAGCCCACCTAAAGTACACTGGCTTATCAATAAAGATAGAAGTGTGTAATTAAATATTTGTTTATTGTCCAATCAGTGCATGTAATTCTTCATGATATCTACATCCTTTTTTAAGGTGCTATGCTATATGGTGTCTACTTTCCACACACACTCATATTTCAGAATCCCAGTCCTTTTTTTCTGAGATTTCTCCTCTTCACTTTTTTTGTGTACAAGAACCTGTATGGGAACTTAATATATAGTCTGTGCCTCTAAATCTCTTCTGAATGCCAACTTCACCTGGTTCCATTCTTAAGATGTTCTGCTTCTCTATGTAGAGTAAGAGTTGTTTTGTTCTGTTTTTTTCTTTCCGTTTGCTGCTATATCCCCTGGGTCTAGAACATATTAAGAAATCAAAATAAAATTTTCATTGACTAGATGAATAAATATGCATCAACTAATTAAGAGATTAGCTAGATATTTTTGATAGCTACCAATGAAGTGTAAGATGCTCCATATTGGGTCCCTGTGGAGGATATCCATGTGTTAAAGTAAAAACAAGGTGAATTATTTAACCACCACCTTTGTTTCTTAATTAAGCAATTCATTGAATGATTAACTGAATCATTGTGCATTTGCTTGATCCCTATAGCAAACATCCAGAGGACAACTAATACTGATTAATCAAACAACAACATAATTTGAACATTATAATTCATTACAAAACTATGGTGACATAAATTTCTAACCATGGAATTCAGTGAGAATGACACAAAAGGAATATAAATATATATTTATATATATATAAATTTATTACATATATACACATATATATGTGTAATATATATATGCCATGCCCAGTGTGAAGCCCAATGTAGGGCTTGAACTCATGAGATTAAGACTGGAGTTTGAGATTGAGTTGGAGGCTTAACCTACTGAGATACCCAGGTGCCTCGGGAAAGTAGATATGTTTAAAGTAAGAATGTGGAGAAATAGGAAGGAAAGAAAAAAAAAAAAACAAACTACAAGAGATAGAGTGGTGGACACATGGTGTAATGCCTCCCCTCATGGTAGTTGTCTATAATAACTTTTTGCATAATGTAATGCTTTCATGTAATAACATAAAAGATCATCCTGCAGCACATGATTCAGTACAACAAAAGTGAAATGCAGGCAATTAGCTCAATGATTTTCAGGGAGAAAGTGATTGCTCTGCACTGTGTTACTTTATGATCTGCCTATTAAAGGACCAATAAGAAATTGGGAGGAAAGATGCATAAGAAATGAAGTTAATTAAAAATACATGTCACATCCAGGCAAATTGAGTTAAGTCATTCAGGTTATAGAAAAACAATTTCAAACATGCAAGAACTTGTGAGATATTATATTCATTAACCCATTCTGAGAAATCTAACAGAAGAGGCCTTTCCCATCAGCAGGTGGCCAAGGGGGCCAATTATAATATAAGGGGTTCAGTATAACATTAAACATGAGCCTCTAAACTTAGATTTTCTAAATACTAAAATAAACACCAGAAAACGAAAGTCTTTTTTTAAAGTAATACTTGAAAGATCAACTGAAAAGTAATAAAAATCATTACATTCAGGGACAAGTAGAAACAGGGTGAAAGAGAACTAGACATAAGATTTATCCAATATTACTTTTTATAGCTTTGGGTTTTGAAGCCTGTAAATTATTTATAATTTCAAAATTAAAATTAAATCATGAAGATGAGGGACGCCTGGGTGGCTCAACGGCTGAGCATCAGCCTTTGGCTCAGGGCTTGTTCCTGGAGTCCTGGGATTGGGTCCTGCATAGGGCTCCCTGCAGGGAGCCTGCTTTTTCCTCTGCCTGTGTCTTTGCCTCTCTCTCTCTCTCTCTGTCATGAATAAATAAAAATCTTTAAAATAAATAAATAATCATGAAGATGAAAATAATGAATCTCTAGCTAGAGCATACTCTTACATTACAAATGGTGACCTGTATCTGTAAGGCTGACAAAGAACTACTGAATATAAAAGCAATTCAACCACATTGTCTCCCTGATATTTTAAACACAAAAATTAAAACTAATTTTAGGTATAGGAAAGTTGCAAAGCCAGTACTGTTTGTCCCCCACTTTCCCTAATGTTACCTAACTATGGTATATGAATAAAGCCCATGAAATTCACAGTAGCCCAAAACTATTTTATGTATAAAGCCCATGTAATTCATAGTGGCCCAACACTATTCACAAATTTGTTCCAATATCATAGGCTTTTCTGCTAATGTCCTTTTTCTTTCAAAATCCAATGCATGATATCATTGCAGATAGTCTTCACAATTCTATATTTATTGGACACTAACATATGGCAGTTTCTTTGTCTTGCTCTGTGTTCCAGGACCCTGTTGGATTTGAAAGTACCAGTCAGCTCTTCCTTACAACAAGCCTCAATTTAGATTTGTCTGAGATCTTTTCACGATACAACTGGGAGTATGGACTTGGGGAAGAACACCACAAATGTGAAATACCCTTCTCATTGTATCAAACAGGGTGTATACATATATACAGTTCCTGTTATTGTTGAATGGTGCTCAGAAATTGGATCTGTTGCTCACTGATACTGTGGCATCCCTGTTTCTAGTTTATCTGAGCAGAGAGAACTACGAAATTTATGCAGGTATCATAACCCGTGTAGATGCTCATCTATATTTATTTCTCTATCTGTATGGCTAAAATAAACTGGAGTTCATATTGATATCTAACTCCAATCCAGTACCACGATATTTCTTCTAGTCTTTTCCTCCATGCTGATTTGTAACTTCTTTCTATGTAGTAAGAAATCTGCCTCCTTTTTATCTGTAATCTATTTACTTGTGTGTTCTATTCTAGCATCATACAAAGTATTTCCAAAATTGCTAAATTAAATCCCTGGGGCAAACTAAGTTATTAATTAAGCAGAGTATGTACAGTTATTTTTACTGTGGGCCTTACAGAACAGACCCAACATGCAGCTTTCCAAAGTCATTAGGTCATCTCCTTTTTACTTATCTCCTTTGGAGCAGAAAAGCTATACATTTGCAAAAGAGTGCATTCTTTTGTCAGAGTTCACATTTCATTCTGGATTTCCACAGCATGCTCCTATTTTAAAATTATCTGCATACATTTTCTGCACCCTTCATATACAGTTCTATGGGTTTGGAAAAATGGTCATGTATCCTCCTCCATGGTATCATAAAAATGGTTCGATCACACTAACATCTCCTTATGTGGCCTCCCTCCTTGTCAGCTGAGCTCCCAGTGCCCCAACCCTGGGTGACAACTGATCTTTGTTTCTGTTGCTTATGGCCTTACCTTTTCAGAACAGGAGATCAAAGGAGTCACACAGTAAACAGCTTTTGGGTCTTGCTCTTTCACCTATTAAAATGCATTTATAATCCATCATGTGGACAAATAAGAATCAATAATGTGTTCCTTTATATT